TAAAATGAGTGTTTTTGTCTCTGGAGTTCTGGAGTCTGGTGGAGAGTGATAGTGATATTACGGCTGTTTGTGGTTAAACTAAAGGTCTATCTCTGTAGGGATCCTTTCCATAATTCTGTCTGTATTAGCTAACGTTATTGTAACATTATTTACATGGCAGCCATAGCAGCCAGTTGTACTGTTTTACCCTATTAATTAAGTTGTATTTCGTTGGAAAGACTGACTGATGGTTTTTGTGAGTTTTACTTTGTTTCTGTCCAGTTTGAACTATGTGCTAAAATGACTGGTTTTGTTGATGGAGTCTGGTCAGCAATAGTGCCTATTATTATGGTCTGAGATGCTGTTGCTCTAGTGTGACACCTAGTGGCAAGTGGATTTGGTACATAACCTTTAAAGGTGCATGCATTGCTCCCACTACCAGTGGTCAAACACTCCACCTGGTGACTTTAATTCATCCGTGACCTTGCCAGCTGGCCTCAAAGAGAGAATCTAAATCCCGGTCTGCCTTTGCCAGTTTAGAAATGAGATCCTTTTCCCACTGAAATCCAACCAGGCACTTTGTGTCAGGAACAGCAAATGGAAAAGCTTAATAAACTGGAAATTGCTTAAAATGCCACAGTGTTATTGCAAGTGTCAACCATTAGTTTATGAAATGCTGCAGAATATTACTTTTAATGGTGAACCACACTCACTAACCCTAAACATGAGCCAACTGTAACAGCTTCTGCTAATAATAAACATGTTTTTTTTCCCACTAATGGTGGTGAATTATGGTCGGCTGCATGATGTTGAGTCATTAGATTGATTATAGTTCATCAGCTACTGTCACCGCAGTGACACCCAGATAAAGACATACAGTGGAAACACACTGGCTACAAAATTCATGTTTTTATTTACACTGAAAGATAAAATGTGTTTTTCATTTGTTTATTTGTATTCTGAACACTTGGCTTCAATTTGGCTTAAGGGGGGTGATTAGCACTTTTTCTGCAAAAATAGCACACAGTAAAAACATGGAAATGTGTGCTTCTCTTATTGCAGACAATACATTTTGACAGCAGTGACAGTATATTTGAGTCCGCTACCTGGTGCTGAATGATTGGATTAATTATAGCTCATTATACTAATAGTTTTTTTTATCTCGCTCCATCCTGGCCAACATTTTCTGCTCCTCTAAAGGGCTCAGGAGGCCGGCAGAGCAGCACAAAGCAGCATTTATTTTCCCTCTAATCACAACATGCTGCTCAGAGGAAGATAACGGGGACAAAAGTAGACCAAGAAGAGAACAGATAAAGAAGGTAAAAGGCAGGAGAGAGAGGAAGAAGAACAAAAGTCGGGTAAATAAGAGACATAAAGAGGGTGAGAGGGATTGAGAAGAGGAAGAGGAGGAGCGGAAAGGACAGGATGAAGAAGACACAGCCCACGTCAGCATTTGCAACTACAACAACAATCATAATAATAATAATAATAATAATAATAGCTTTATTTATGTAGCACAGTATCATTGTGATACACTAAATGTAATTAAATATAGAAATAGAGGAATACCAAATAACATTAATAAGAGCAGACTAAAAGCCGTAAACATGAAATAAAATAAAATTTCACATTGAAACGATTTGCTCCTGGAGCTGAGCTATTTTATACATAAAATAAAAAAGAGCTTCCTCCACAGACAGTGCTGACATTTGAGTGAATGAATGAGTCAAAAAATGGAGGAAGCTATCAAATTAGCTGTGGCATCATTAAGTTTTATATAACCCTGTTCTGTTGAAATATAAACGGCTCCACAGAAGAAGATCCAGCATCAACAAAGTATGGAAGCCCATTCCTGCCAATGTGAAAAAAGATTCTGTAAGTCTGTAAGTCATTATAATGAGAAACCTTCACAAAACATTGGCTTTGAGATACTAAGTCAACTTAAAATGTTACTTTATATTGCTTTTATCTTTTAACCATCTTCAAAACGTGTCTTTTCAACATAGATTCGCCTAGCACATAGCATATCTGCATAAAGGAAAGGAGGAAGTTGACCAATGCTTCCTCAACTGTTATTGGAGAACAGAGCAAAAAGGGGCGGGACTTAGGAAGGGCCAACTTTCAACCTCTGTAGCACGAGTGCTGTGTGCAGAAGAAGTAAACGTACGATCCTGCGACTTCACGAGGAGCATGGAAGAAAGAAAGAGGTAGAGAAGAAGAAACGAGAGTGTGACTGGGAGAGAGGGAGGGAGGTGTGAAGGAGGAAAAGTGAAAGAAGAAAGGAGAAAGGTGGACCGTGACAGGGCACAATCCTCACCTCTTACCAACGGCATGCCATCCACGATTACTTGAACTGCTGCTCTTTCACTCGGCTGATTTGCTGACATTTTCTGGAACACATTCCTTCTGTTACAGTGTGTGTGTGTGTGTGTGTGTGTGTGTGTGTGTGTGTGGAGTCTCTGCTCTCACTGCCCGTTCTCCCACTCCCTCTGAAGGCCTGTGAATGTACAGTGTGTGTGGGCCGGAGCCGCGGCTCACTGTTACGTTTCGAGATGGCCAAAAGTTACTTGAGGAGCGTTTGATTTTTGGCTGCTGTACAAGCACACAGTTGGTTAGACAGACAGACTGTCCATGAAATAAAACATCAGGAATTTGATCCCTGCGAGCAGCCAATCCGCATCCCCCACAACCCACAGCGTCTGATTGATTGGAAGTCTGCATGCCATCAAAAGATAGCGTGAGAAAGTTTAAAAATGTCAGGGATTCATGTTCACCTAGCAAACATTTTGATGAACAGATTATCACATTAGTAGACTGGAGACTGTGTGATGCATGCTGGGATGAAGTTTAGAGACTACATGGATTGATGGATGATCATACGAGAGAATGTCCATATTTTTTTCACCCTGCTTTGCTGTGTGAGATTGTTGCCAGACTTTAAAATTTGAAATATGGCTATTCTTATTACAATTATAGGCTAGGATACCTCAATCACTTACTTCCTTTACTGTTACATATTTAGCCATACCAGTGACATCGCTCTGTGGATGGCTGTGTTGGTTGGTCGGTCCACCTCTTCTGGTCTGAAATATCTCAGCAGTTATTGAATGAATTGTCATGAAACTGGGCTCAGATATTGATGGTCCCCAGAGGATGAATCCCTCTGACTTTGATGATCCTCTTGTGACACCGAGAGGTCAAAGTTTCCACTTATCCTGAGAAATAGCTCAACATCTGCTGGATGGATCAGCACATATTTCTGTACAGACAATAATGGATCCAAACTGATTCTTAGTAAACCCTTAACTTTCCTCTAACGCCATCATCATCAAAATTGGAATTTGTCCAATATTCAGTTTTTTATCCAAATACCTGCAAAACTAATCACATTAATTAGCAAACATTACCGTGCTAACATGCTAAACTAAGATGGTGAACATGGTAACCATTATACCTGTTATGCATCAAGCCCCCAGAAGGAGCGGCATTTTGATGTAGTGGCCAAACGGTGTAATTACATCAACGCCGTCTGTTAGTTTGTTGATCCCATAAGCTTACATTGTGAAAGAAGCAGCTGTAAAACGGTGGATACATTTTTTTTGCGCGTCACAACACTCAAAATGACTTGAAAGTGTAAAAGAGCCGCATGATTTGATCATTTTATCCCCATTAAGAGGGCTAAACTGGAAGTTAGCAGCTCAGCTTAGGGAAGTCTCTAGTGGGCTCGCTCTATGGGCCCCAGAATGTGGAAGCATATGTGGAAGATCTGCACTGTGAACCAGGTTTTAACAATAAATTCTCACAATAAACTACTGTAACGTGTACATTTTTGCAATGCATGTCATTATTTGAATATTACAGGCAGATTTCACATCAAAATTGTTTAATTTTACAGTAATATTATGACTAATGGTTCATGTAGAAACACAATACATTACTGTGATCTTCATCTATATTACTGTAAGATAATAACTGTATGCCGCTATGAATTTACTGCAATTATCAGCCTGTAATTTACAGTAAAAGAACAATATTATATTTTAGTTTAGGGTAATTTTATTTGCAGAAATCAATCATGCACCACTGAGCAGATTCCATAAGAATAAATGGAGCCCGACCTACAATGCGGCATCTGCCTTATTACACACACACATTAGCATTTAGCTCTCAAAGCCGGTAGCATGGCTGTGACCTCTTATTCATGTTAACTTCTTGACCCCACGTTCTCTGTAAAATATAACATAAAACATTTAATCATGAAAGTGAAGATTTATGCACACTTTATTATATTTATATCACTTTATTTAGCATTTTATGTTTTCCTATATTCACTGTGTTTCACACCCTTTTCTGTATTCCTTTGTGTTTTGTAACAAGTATGACTTCAACTTGTATGCCTCATAACACTTGGAAACTACATTTCCCCAGAGGTGGAGCTTCTGCCACCAGGGTGAACACAGGTGTTTTGCGTACTGCCAATGATTGGGGCTGGTTATTTGCATTTTGTATGCTCTGATGAAGATCGGATAGGCCGAAAGCTAAATTAAGTGATACATTACATGGATCTAAGTGTGCAGAAATCTTCACTCTCAGTTTTGGACACATTGAGGCTTGCGGCATTTAAGCAAAGATTTTGTTGTGTGGAGCGATTCTAATCCTGCATGTGGTTAAATCTTGAAATGCTATATAGGCTAAAATAATCTCATCCAGAACTCTGAATAGCTGCCCACGTCTCAGACTTTTTGAAATATAAATAAACATCAATAACTACACAAGGTCAATTTCATAATAGAAAAACATTAAGTACTTATAAATATCTTGTCAAATTAACCAACTGACCTCAAATATCTAATTAAATTCCGTAATAGTACCCTCCATACCTCTGTAAGAATGCATCAGACTTAATATCAGTGCATTAATGTGTGACTTTTCTTGCTAACCTGTGCCATATTTAAACCAGGTTCCCTGATCATTTTAACTGATTAACCTTTTGTTTTTAATCTTCCCTCCCCTCCCTAAAGGTGTCTCCCTGCCCAGCATCACACCACTCACTACCAGCTGTGACTCCCCCGGACTGGGCTGCCCAGGTAGGAAACACATCTGCATAGTAGACACTGTCTTCACAACTGGTGATTGAAAATAACAAAAATGCTGAAAAACCTAAAGACAGTGCCTGAAATGGACTGGTACTCATTGGTACTGAGTACTGCTGCTTCTGAATAGCCTTACTTCTTATTGCATACTGGCACCTCCTGATGAGTCTAGGTACACACTCCTAAACGTAACGCTTGATTGTTTTTCCGATCGGCATATCGCGAAGACCTCCCCCTGGACTCTGACTGCCTGTAGTTTGTTGTCTTCGTTGGTTTGCCTGGTTAGGAGAACTTGGGGGTTTAACCACAAAATTGATGCAGTGTTTTTGAGAATCTATACAATATCACAAAATAAAATATCCCAATACTATTTTCGTCCACCCCTAGTGAATGTAGCTTTTACTGAGAAAACTGTGCTGAAAATGCATAAAACGGCCACAAGAATTAGGGTTAGGGTTGTGTTGAATTAGGGTGCTGGCACTTTTTTTGATCCAATTCAGGCACTTTTGAGAGACATTTATACATTTAAGTTAACTCTAATTTCAATTTGTAGTTAGAAGTTGTTTTATTTAAACAGCATTGAAACAACAGTTATGTAGATGTCTGTGGTCACTTTCACACCTGTTTCTGTCTTTTACTTTTGGTCGGTCTTGTGGACACATACAGATTTATTATTTAAACTACAAATCTTCAAATCAATACTCAACTGGGAACATAAGGTTTGCAGAAACTTCTGCATCAACCAATGATGGTATTTTTAAACAGAAAGTGGACAAATCCTCACAGATTCTTGGAAAAGAAACATTATTTTCCCCTCCAACTGTCAGGCGTTGCAGAAGTTTCACTTCTCACATTTATATTTCATCCATCAGAACAGCCCACTGTCAAATATTTCTTGAGCATTTCAGTTTTTCCCAGAACTCTGTTGTCCGTCAGCGATAACTACCATTCCTTGTGATATTTGGCAGTTTGGGGATTGAGCTCCAGTAACATCAAGGATTATTTCAAATGTACTTTAAGTCTTCTACAATACATTTGCAGCTATAAAGCTCATTTCACTTCCATGCCTGCTTTCATAACATCTAAGCCATGCTGAGTCTTTCAAGAAGTTTTCAGAAAGTTACAGCTGTTGTCCTAAGCACCTTTTGGTACTACGAGTGCATGTGTTGTTGTCATAGGCGAGAACCCTGTCAGTGTTCATACCTTCAATTATTTATTCAAGTACACAAAGAATGGAACCCCAAACCTGCTGCCAACTACGATCTAACTGAGGTTTCAATGCAAGTGAACCCAGTGGGAATCAAACTCTCAACCTTTGCAGCATCAGTTCCATACACTTCCCTTTCAGCTTTATATACGGTTTTTACTGTCAGTCTCTACTATATGTGCCTTGTTAACAGAGTCCCAGCGCCCCCAAGGTTTCCAGAACCCCCTAAAGCTGCTTAACCCCCAAAATGGATTCTGGATATCTTGTCAAGTGAAGCTGTCTTAACCTCAACCACACTTGGATTTGATTCACAGAAAATCCCCATTCCCCAAAGCCCTGCACATATTCTTCCCTCCGAACTTTCCAACAATACTGTCGGACTACTCTGAACAGGTGAAAAGATTTTAGTTTGAAGAGAACAGGAGATGTGGGGTGTTGAAGGATGAAAAAGGCAAAATGTAAGAAGACGGGAGGCAAAAAGAAGAAAAGGAAAGAGGAGAGGAGATGATAAAATGAAAGGAGAAAAAAATGAATAACAAACTGTAGTGTCTCCAGTGTTTGCATTTGCTGCTTTTCTCTGTTTTATGTGATTATAAACTGATCATTGATTAATCAAACAAAAGAAGCAGTTTTAGTAACCAAACAACTAAGGGAAAATGTGAATTTCTGTTCACTTCTGTTGTTATATGAGAGAGATGAGATGATGATGGAGATAGACACGAGATGAAGTCATTATAAGAGCTCGGGAAAACAATGTGTAAAACACGATGGAAATATAACATTTCTGTTTCATGTATGTTAGGAAGGTTATAGTGTCTTTGTCACTCCACATAGATCTGATGTGTTTGGCGCCGTTTTTAGTCTAGTGAGAAGTTTCAGTGGCCAGGGGCATGTTCAAATGGGGGGCCTGGGGTGAAATCTGATTGGCCAACCCCAAGTGCCACCACAATTTTCCTTCCCTCTTCCACTCTGCACTTTCAAAGGCTGTAGCAGACTCAGTTTTAAAGCTAAACTAGTGATATGAAACTAGATGACCTAATGCATCCAATGGTACCAAACATGTCATGCTAGCATGTTGGGAAGGCGTCTAAATAATGCTTCAAAGATTTGGCGATGAAAAAAACAGGTATGGCCATTTTCAAAGGGATGCCTTCACCTCTCACCTCAAGATATCTAATGAAAATGGCTTCTATGGATACCCACGAGTCTCCCCTTTGCAGACAGGCCAACTTTATGCTAATCCCATTCAGTTTTTTGCATGTGAAGTCAAGTGCAGTTGAATATTCCTGCATACTGGGGTTCATGACACTTTGCACTTTGTCGCGATTTGTTTTGTCAATATGCCAACTTTTCCACCTCAGCCAAGCTGAAAACCTTTTGTGGACATTTTCACTTTTATTCACATTTCTGGTGTTTTCCACACAGGTTTTTTTATGCACAAACATAAAACAGGGGGATGGAAATGCACTTATAAATGAAAAAGAATATGGGTTTTTTGTGGAGGTTTTTGTTATCCAGATAAAGGATCTAAGGGTAGTGTCATGCGTTTTACAGATTGTAAAGTGATTTATGATTTTGGCCTGTATAAATGAAATGAACTTGCCTTGAGAAGAAAACAAGGATAGGAATCTCAGTCAAGTTGGTTGAAAAACCAGGAAACAGATACTCCACTCAAGTGTCGGCAAGTAGAGAGGTTGCAGTTCAATAATCATTTACATTCTGCCGGTCCCTCTCACCAAACAATGTGGAAAAGAGTCTCCTCGAGTCTGTTAATGACATTTTCCTTAAATGACCCCACTGTGTCCTGAGAGGAACTTACGTGAAGGAACCAGAAGAAAACCACCCCAGGGTGCTGTTCAGCTGCAGCCATGAGCCCCTTGCTGTTCAGCCAAAACCATTAAAACTGGAATAATGTCCATGCACAGATCGTGGCCTAAAGAAAATCTCACTCGAGCCAATCACCTTTGCTCCAGGAGGTCACGTGATCTGGAACTAGAACTTGAACAGAAGCTTGGGGCCAGCTGACGATGTGACCCAACCCCACTCTCTAAATGTCAGTTCTCACACTATCCTATGGAGGCTTCAGAGGGACATTTTTCTAAAGGTCAGTTTTTGTGGGATTGTGCTCATGAGAGGAAAAAAGCCAATTAAACTACAGCTTGTCTTCCAGAATATAAATGACTATAGCAACCCAGGCAAGTCAACAGGCCATGGGAGAGCACTCACAGGGTTATATGTTAAATCCTTGAGCTGGTTTGGTCTATAGAGTGCAGGCACATAAAGAGCAGCACCTCCGGTGTCAGTGTCTTGATCTTTTGATTGAATGCCAGGCTTTGCTTTCACCTGAACCCCTGTGGAGAATCGGTGCTCCGTAACCATACAAGGCAGCTGGACTCGAGCTTGAGATCACAAGATCATGCAGGAATCCATCATGCCAGGCTTCAAGCTCTGCACACAGAAGTGATCGCGGTTGGTGCTGTGGTATCAAAGTCCCACCCATACGCCTGGCCTACTTAATCCTGTCAATCATGACATGAAACCTCCTTTTTATACCTTCAAAAAAAAAAAAATTAAAAACCAACTGATCTGAAAAATGAACACTTGGACATAAATCAGCGAACAGAACTACCTACGGTACCAGTACTGGTATTGATTCAAAAATGAGAGGTAACAAACGCTAATAAGTGGGAAAACCATGAACCACGGAACGCATTTCAAATTGGTCGGGCCCATCAGCAACACAGTATCACTGATAAAAATCATTAGTTTCATTTTCAGTAAACTTTAGCTAACAAAGTGGCAAAGAATGGCAAACGTTTGATTTACATCACATGACACAATTAGCCATGTTTTTGAATTTCTTCATTTATTGCTTTCTTAAAGGCTGTGGTCACAGAGTGTGATATATGTGGCTACCATAGACTGTACACTTAAAAAAGCAACTACCGAAGAATTTTATTCAAAAGTAGGTCTGGCTCCGGCCCTACTGCGACCTTGCTGGTTCTCAGCCCTTTGGGGCAAATGCTTTAAAAGAAGACTGAAAATACAAAAAAAGCAACCTGCCACAATGCATTTCTACTTTTAAAGTTTCTGCACTGAAGATGATCATGCAGCTTCACAACCATTCATCATCCTCTGCATCTTTCTCTCTCTCATCCCAACCCCTTGTCACTACCGCCAGCCGCTTCCTCTCCCGCCACTTCATCCACTGACTCCACTAACACCATCCATGCTACTAATGCCACCGCCCACGGTAAGCAACCCTCATCCTCGCCCTCCTCAGCCTTCTCCCAATATCCTTCTGACTCCCTTCTCCCTCTTTTTCAGCTGCTCCTTCTTCACTTCCTTCTGTCTTCCCTTTTTACTCCAGCGCTGTCCTTTTGCTTTTTGATCACCCTCTTATTCCTCCCCCTGCTCTAGTTTTTCAGCCTCCTTCTTTCTGTTTCATAAAATGCTAATTTATGTTGTTCAGCTGCTATGCTGATAACCTTTGACAGTTTATCGAAAAACTTTTACTAAATCCACAGGGACATTTTTAGTCCCCTTCTCCAAGATAAACTTGGGGGCTCATATAAGATTCAAAAGGAATACTTCTTTTCATGGAAGTCATTTAGAGGTCATTACCAAAAAAACAATGATCGTTAATGGGTTTTTCTAAAGAAAAAATCAGAACCAGGGAAGTTGTGCCATGTTTGACCTTTTCAAGGACCTGTGTAAAATTGCTTGGAGCTATTTGATTTTTCCTGCACCTTTCGGAAAGTAAAACCCTCTATTATTAATTTCTTCACTCTATTATTCATTATCTATCTGCATGGGAGAAGATTCTGCTAATTTTGCTCTGATAAATTGGTCCAGATGAACGTGTTTGACTCCGGAGGATTAGAGTCTAGATAAATATTATCACCACTACCACTGCATTAAAAAATGAGTTAATCAAATCTTTTCATTAGTTAATTAGCCTTTCTGTCATTCTTTTTTCATCTGAGGAGTTGTAGTGGTGAATGCAAATCTGCTCTTGTTCTTTGATTTGGATAATATGGGTTTTTTGTTGTAACAAAGGACAGTTCACAGTGGAGTTTTAAATATGCAGCTCAGGTGAAACAGGAAATACCCTGTACATGGCGCATTCATTTTTAACATAAGCATGTTGGAGGTTTTATTTATATGCATTTAAAAAGTCGTCAAAGTGTTGGAAGTATTTTCAGGAGCACCGGGCGTTCCTTATCTGCACTTGGCGAAATAAAAACTATTTTGTTTTCCATGTGTGGTTCCTCTCGTTCTGCTGTATCCTTTGATTTGTCATCTTCAGTTCTCCCCTCCATCACTTCATCCCCATCCACCAGCACAACCAGCTCCTTCTCTGGTAAGGCTTCATCTGCTTCGCTGCTTTATTGTTTGTGACTTTCCATTAAAACAAAAAAAAGTCAATTACAGAATGCTTCTTCCCTAAATTTGACTGTTTTCAGGGTGGAAAAGTCATACTAAATGAGAACAATAGTGTTCTTAATTGAAACCTAGACTCATTTTTGAAATTTATTGTAGAAAATATTCCAACAGTGGGGTTCAATTTTGCGTATTATTATGACACACTCGACTCAGCATGACTCCACTGAATTATGATAGGAAATACAAAGGAATTTCTGAAACACTGGGTCCTTGGTTTTAAACAAAAAAGCAGACAAAAGCAGCTTCTCACTGAGTGTCAAACGATATTGCAAAATTGGTCCGGCCCATACACTCAGCCCAAATACAGCAATGAATTACGGTCCACATGTGGGCCAGATCTGGTAGCCACATATGGCCCATGACACAGCCACATCTCAGCCAAATGTATGACCATAGCTGGCCCTGTTTAGAAATCTTTTTTTGACAAATGTTCAGTGTTATGGGCCATAAATGCATTGTAAAACCAGAAGAGTTCATTTAATTGTTGAAACTGATTGCATCAAAAATCTTACATTAAACTAAACTCCATTTTGTAAGTTAAAAGACATTCTTGTCTAAGTAGCTTTGGTAATTTTAATTGACACTGAATTAATTTTTATTTGTACTGTGAAAACAAAACACCTAGTAAAAAGTATTTAATCAGGAATGTTTCTGTAACTTTAAACACAAGTTAGTAAGTAAAATTTTTTTAAAAAGCTGCTAATGAAGAACAAAAAAAATGTCATTTGTGTTAATCTTTTATGTAATGTAATGTTTAAAGAATTGTTTTTTTGTTTGTTTGTTTGTTTTTTTAAATAACTTATCACATTACAGTGTGGCTACCAGGGGCCCATATGTGGACTATAACTCATTGGCATAGCTAAGTGAGCTATGTAGGCTCTCATTGGGCGGGACCAATTTTGCTATTTTAGGAATTTCCAAAAACAATCACCTTTGAAATTAAATTGACCCAAAGATGCTTTTGGAAAACAAAGTTAATGCACCAAATGTCAAAAATTCTTACCTTGATCAACATTTCTTTTTCATTGAATAAAGAAAGACTTTTGAGATTGGACCTATAACCAAACAGACTATAGGAACTTTGCCCCATTAACATGGTTTGGTTGTGTTTTGTGATACTGACATGCTTACTCATTGTGCTAATCAGTTATGCCTGCCACTACCATTGACATCACCACCAGCACTGCTACCCCTGCATCTCCTTCCACTAACGTTGCTTCAACCAGCAGCACAGCACATGGTAAGGTAGCTAACCATATCTCAATATTGTCGCTACTTAACGTCGCAACATACTGAATTGGACGTTGTTTCCATCCACTATCGTTACGCAAATGATAGGAGTTAGTTGACGAGATGAGCAGTAGGTGGCACCAATTCTCCAGTCAAAAAAACAGAAGAAGAGGACGCCACAAATGGACAAGAGTTAGGAGGGTTACTTTAAAAATGTAATCCCGTAGAATTACAAATGACCTGTTAAGAATATGTAGTATCACAGTATTAAAGTAACGTAACTTGATTACTTTCCGTTACTTCTGGATTACATCAACACTAAATATGCAAATATCTTACTCCCCAAGCCTAATGGTGAAAAACCATAAAAGAAATAATACATTTCTGTTAGTTTCATGTATTAATGTGAGGAAGGTTCAATCCCATCTGAAGAATTTCAAGAACTTATTAAGAATTTATTCGGACAAAGTGTTTGTGTGTACTAGTTAGCGCATTTTCTGAAAAAAACCCCACCTCAAGCAAATGTAAAAACTTTTTTGCAAAATGGAGGAAAATTTTTTATTTATTTAGCTGTTTCCATAAAACTCTTCTGATACTTTCTTCAAAACGTGCTTCCTGTAAAATAGATTGATGTCCCCAAAATGTAGGTGTGTTTTCAGGTCAAGTCAAGTATACGCATACACTCACAAGTCTATAAAATTATCAATGATGTGATGAGAACCCGCTCGCAGATTGGTGCATAATCTACCCACAGCATGTGTCTATTAAACTGACTGATAATCTGTGATTGTTTACTTCCCGTGTAGCCCAACAGACAACCAGCAGCACGTCAACTGTTTCATCTGCTACCACTAACCACCCAGCTACTAACCCCACAACGCATGGTAAGAGCAACAATACTGGAGTGAAGGCTGACTAGTTTTAATCTGGGTGGCAGGTACCGAAACAATAGCATATTCTACCACCACTGAGTACATTGTTTCTGAACATAAATAATTTAACTATATATGTAATTGTGTAGGCCTACAGTTGTGCCATGCACTCAGTAGTGGAAAAAAATTGCCCTTAAAAAGCTAAACCGCAATAAGTCTGAGTAGTAAAACTGAAGGGAAATTCACTTAAATTCAGTTTATTTCCCAACCTGGTTAAATGATTATGTGTACAACTGAGCCTTTGATGGTATGGATTTTAAGCCCTGGTCATCATGTTAGATATTTAATACACTTAAAAAAAAAAAAAAAAAATTAAAATGTATAGAATACTAAACCAGTTATTAATGTTTGAAACAACTTGTATGCATAAAATATAGCTGTAACTGGAACAATTTAAGCATTAGAAAAGAAAAATTGTGTAGTAACTCATTTATGGTTAAGATAAAGATAGATAAGATAAGTTAATTGTACTTAAAACTAGTAAGTAGCCTACATTACACTCATATGCAAAATTTTTACAAACTTATTTTAAAATGTGTTAACAGAAATAATCTGAATAAAGTCATTTAAATGCATCTTCTTTATAGTAATCTTAAATTGAATTTACTCAGTTTTCTTTCACTAAAGCAAATTCTTACATTACCTGTCAAAAAAGTCGATAAAAACTATTTACAATTCATCGATTATCAAAACGGTAGCCAGTTAATTTTGGGGCTTTGGGGCTTAAATTTTTGGTCACTTGAAGTCAGCTTAAAGAAAATAAATCAGTGAAACAAACTGGAATTAAATCACCTATACTTAAAATACTGCATAGTTCACTCAAAACAACTGAATTATTACAATTCATTTTTGAGTTGGGTTTAATTCATAGGAATGAGTTTTGAAGGATTAAGTTATGTTAGCTTAGTTCATGCTGTTAGGCTTTACAGTGTATAGCTATCTTTGCATTATGCTGATACTTTACATCTCTAACACGATCATACTACTACCATTAAACTCATCCCTTCTGACTCCTCCTCTCTCTCTTTCTTTTGGCCTCCTCCCTTTTCTTTTCTCCTCTCATTCCATCTCCACAAACAGTTCCAGCAACGACTCCTTCACTGCTGCTAACTACTAACCAACCAACCACTAACATAGCTGCATCATCTTGGGGTAAGAAACACACTTACCGAGGTCGCACACTCTTCTCTTTTCATTCCTGTTTACTTTTTCCCACTCGTTTTGGAGTTTGGATTTTTCCTGCTGTTGTTTGAACTCCTGTTACGTAACGTACTTTGATTTATCTCACTAGTGACTTGGCGCGATATCTCTCTGATTTAGTTACATTTTGTTCAGGTTCTTTGTTTCATAATCTTCAGTAATAGCTGCTTTAGTTGTGTTACTAACAATTGAATACATAAAACAACCGGACTTCGTCATACAAATACTCTTTCTGGTTTGGTTTCCTCTCATATGGTACACATCTTTTATTGTTTTAGCTTTGATACTTACTTTTCTTATTCTTTTGTTGGGCTTTTATTTCTATTATTGTAATCAAGGTACAGTGTTCCTATACTGACATTTGGAAATTTGGAATGTGAAGGTGTCAGAACTATTACTACTACTTCTGATAATTGTTTTTTTTACTCAAGGAATGGGAGCTTTCTTTGATTTATGCTTATCTATCTGTAGATAGTCATCGTGGTGTATGAAATGTTAGTGTTATTCCAGAACATTGCAATCAAGAATGTGTTAGATATTTTGTAGTTTTATTTGCATCTTTACATATTTCTGCATTCTGCTGATAATGAACATTTCATCTCCACAAACAGGAGAGTTACTTGTTACATGCTCTTTTACAGCATTGCTGTGTTTCACATTTCTACTTCTCTCACTGAGGAATTTGGATTTTTGATGCGATATCTTTCTGATTTAGTTCAATTGCATTCAGGTTCTTTGTTTCATAATGATCAGTACCACCTGTAATGTCGGCTTCCCCTGTTATATTAACAACTGAGTCCATAAAATAACTCAACCTTGTCATACAAATACTTTCATATACAAACATTTACATAATCCTTTACCATTTTAGCTTGTTCGCTATTATTCATGCTTTGATCCTTTCCTGCTATATTTGTTTGATTTTTACTCTTATAATTGTATATTTTCTCTGACGTGAAGTGAAGAAAATCAATTGCATAATCAAAGTGAAGTTTTCTTATACTCACACTTATAGTGATTATTAGGGATGTCTCTGGTGTAAAGGTGCTTCTTAATCTCCACTGTGTATACTGCAGCTTTGAGTTTGTTGCTTGAAAATACTTTTAATTACTTTTATTTATTATATGTAACCTGCTTTTTCACCATAATGGCGTCTGGTTTGCTGTGCTGTGTCCTGGTGACAGCAAAGGACTCCTTCTCTCCTGCCGCTGTACTTACTGCTGGTCCAGCTGCTCCCAACAGAAGACTCAGGCATGTTTTTGGATTAACTTCCGCTGGATCCCCTATTTCTCAGGCACCCAGACCTCCAGCTCCTGCGGCTACCACAATCAGACAAACTAGACCTGCTTTTGTTTTCAGCCCCCATGGAAGAGGCTCTCATCGTAGGTCCCTTGCATCCAGTCAGTTAAGGGCTCCAACCCAAGCCTATGGTCTCATAGAACCCAGACTCTTAGCTCCAGTCCCAGGTCGACCCGAACCCTCTCACCCTATACCTCCAGCCTCCCTCCCCAGGTACCCAGGCCATCACAGCTCCAAGACCTCCCTGGGGTTCATCTCCACCCCTTTGGTCTGGCAAGGTAGGAAGAGGCCAACTGGAGGAAGGCACCCGACTGCCACCAGAATATCACCCAGACCAGTGGCTCACATCACAAAACCCGCTGCACAGCCAACTGAACTCAAATACACAACCAGGCCTGCATACACAATGCAAAAAGGTGGATTTAAACACACAACTGCGTTAAGAAACACAACACACATGTTGGCATATGCAACACGCACAACTTCCCACTTACATGCTTCAACTCAAACTACATCACGACCAATCTCCAACAAGGAGACCCCTGCAACCACCCAAGACTCAAAACTCACTCCTGAAACAGGGGTGTTAAGAGACGATGAATTAGATGTAAAGGCATCTTCCTCAGCAATAGTGGCAGCACCCCTGGCATCGTCATCATCGTCATCTTTGTTGTCATCATCATCTGCACTCAGCAATAGAAAGAACAAACCTGTGGCGGCACAGTGGTCGCTGCTGAGCATGACCAGTGGGGAAAACCAAACAGTTGCCATGGGTAACTGGACAAATCCTCTGGAACCACTGGGTGATGAGTACTCGTCAGGGTCAGAACCATTTGTGTATGATTTGACTGAGCTCTCGGAGGAGGACGGTACTTTTAGCTTGTACAAGTTTGATGCTGCCTACTCCTTGGATGAACCTGCCACCATCTCTTCAGCCTTTACAGGCCCTGACGCCAAAAACCAACAATCATTCAACATATCAGATCCTCAAGGTGCTTTGCTTCCTGTCACACACCCCTTAACTGCTTCTGACGGTGGCAGCGAAATGCTCGTCCAAAGACATTTCCACAATGATTCGGAAACCCCCGCAAGCGGCCTAGCAGCAGGCAGCGAACTTTATCTAAACCACTCAAGAGATATGTTGATGCCAGGAACAGTTACATTCATCAGCAGGTCTCAAATTCCTACACCGACAGTTTCTCAGACTTTGACAGTAGCTCAAACCCACCACGGGGATCCAAGCAACACTAATTCAAGTGGACAAAAGCAACAGGAAACTTCTTACACACAAGCTGTCACTCAGCCACTGGAAACATCAACATTTCAACCAACACCCTCTCTTCTTATTCCCCCCCTTTCATCCTTTTTCTTCATACAGCCAACACCTTCTTTGCCCATGGTACAACTAAGCTCCTCTGCTTTCCTCACAGATGAGATTTTCCCAAAGCAGATCTTTTCTTCTTCGTCACCACAGAAGGAAGAACTGACCCAGATATCCTATTCCTCACTTTCTGTAAATCCCCTGGGCAGTGTGTACGAAACAGACATTACTAGAAGTGATGTTGACCTTGCAGTGGCCAGAAGTAGACTGATTATCAATGTGTATACAAGTGAAGACATATCTCCTGTCTCCTTTCCTTCTCCCATTCTTTCCCAAACTTTCTCTTCTAACATTTTTGCATTCCCTGTTGACATCTACACCTCATCTACCCTCCTACCTCTAATCCCCTCTTCTCTTCCCTCCTCTCATGCCATCACTCTATCTGCTCCATCATCTGTCTCCCCTGTCCCATTAAAAATTCCAACTTTGCCTCCCCTCACTCCTCTGTCATCCTCTCCTCCCCTCTGGTCCACCACCATTCCTCTTCCACTCTCTGCTGATCCACAGCAGCCCTCCCTATTCCTATCCTCCTCTCCCCAGGATGTGGAACAAAGGCTTTCAGAGGCAGATGGCGTTGTTGAATCTGCTCACGTTCCAGAGTCAGATGGAGTTAGCGGGAACTTTCAGCCTTCTGTGTTGACATCTCTTTCTCTGCCCTCAAACCTTCAAAGGGACTTTGTGGCGACAAGAGTTGACATAGCATCCTCGTTGTCTCTTCCTCTCTTTTCTAAAGCCCAAACTGAATCTCAGATGCCAGTTGTTGAAGGTGCACTGCTGCCGGAATACCGCTTACTCTTTGCAGAAGAGTCCTCTAACAATATGTCAGAATCGTTTACAAGTCAATTGCCCTACCCTGAGGGTACTCAGCTCCTTGATACCCAATCAGGTCTGTTTGCCCATTCAGGTGGGATTATTTTAGACTCCTCTTTTAGTCAAATCAACCCAACTCCCTCAGGATTATCTGTGGAGAATTTGGCATCCAGTACTGTTGTACTCTCATCAGTTTTCACCCCCCAGACACACCCAGCTCTGTCACAGTTAGAGCTGCTGGACCTTGAGTTGGGTTCATCAGTGGTTTTGTGGCCATCTTCTCATGCAGCCAGTCTGTCAGTCAGTCAGTTCTTGGCTCACTCTGATCAGAGAGATTTGAGCGACATATATACTCTGCAAGATGAGCCACGTCCAGTGAATAAGTCTGCCATAGGCTTTACATCACTGACAACAGCTGGCATTTGGGCCTCTGAAAGCACCCCGGCTCTGCTCCAGGCAGATATTGATAGAATGCAAAGTTTGCACTCTGCTTTTTTGTCTACCATTTCTTCTTCCTCTTCAAATCCATTCCTTTCAACTTGGAGTCCCCTTTCTCATCACCTTGACAACCTGTCTCTCACTGTATCTTCAGAGGCCGCTGCTACAGTGATGCAAGGGGTGGCAGAACGGATGGTGGGAGAGGAAACTGCAGTTTCCTCCCCTTATCCCGTAGTTGAGAACTCTCTTCTCTTGGCTCAGACGTCTTCATCTGGGTCACAAGACAGACATACATCAAGCCTGACCTTTAATAGATATCCATGGAGGCTGCAGCATACAATCTCCCATTTCATCGACAACCAGGTGAATACAAACACCGCCGCTGGTGCTCACTCTAACTCCAGGGGCTCCCAGGCACTCACTGGCCATGACGATGCATTTAATCACCCCACTTCCCGCGTGTTGACTCCATCTGTCATGGCAACAACCCAGACACTGGCACTCCACGTCAGCCCAAGTGCACAGCTTGACACAGCAACCCCCCAGCACGCTTCAGGGCTGGATTATATGCACCAGTCAGGCTTGACACAAACCAACACTGAACACCCCAGACGTCTAATCCACATACACAGTTCAGCTCACACACAGATGCACACACACTTGGGCACTCAGGCACAGGCGAACAAGTTTTTAGACACAAGGGAGAGACTAAACTTGAGTCAGAGGCCAGGGCAGGACACACAAAATGCAGAGGCACATGTTGATGTCGGAGGGCTACAGCAGCAATCATCCCACTTAATTTCTTCTGCCCTTACTCCGCCAATCCTTTCGCCCTCCATTTTACCTTCTCTTTCTCTTGCAGCAACCCTCACACCTCCTTTTTCTTCTCTCAAAATTTATCCTGCCACCCCTCCCTATATGGCTTCCCTCCCTCTCTCATCTCTCATCACCCCTTCTCTCCTCCCTGGTTGGGTGGCATTGCCAGCAGTGTCTGCCAGCATGGGAGAGGCAGAAATTGGCGCCTTGTCGCCCAGTTGGCCAACTGCTGGATTCCACCAGCCCACAACAACCCAGCCCCCCCTGGACAACCATTTACAGTCCTTCCAAAAATCCACCAAATACCCTGTCAGCCAGTCAACAGAGTCAATCCAGCAGTTAATCACAGACAGCCAATCACTTCCTCTTTTCCAAGCTTCCACACTCCCTGATGACAAATCCAGCCACTCAAACCCCCTTGTTTCAGCGGACGATTATGACAAGGACGAGATTCTACCACAGCTTGCAAACAACTCGCAAACAGTGGATGCCTTTAGGTTTGTCAGTGGTCCAGTATCGTCACCTGAGGCCTCAAACAATCTCACCGCAGCTGGGAAACTATCACATCTCTCTGCTTTATTTGACCCTGCGGATGTTGTTCCAAAAATACATATCGCGGATGACTCTGCTGTAGAACTGGTTTCTTCAGCAGTGAACACTAATGACAGTGTACCTCTGGATGTAATGTTACATATTCCAACAGGCCATCAGCCTCATGAAAGTCTGAATCCAGAAGCTGCCCTGAACACTGAAACGCAAACTACCTCTCCCCGCTCCATTTCTGAACCCAGTTATCAGCCTAGCTCTGCAGTATCAGCACAACCTGCTGGTGTTCCGGTTATTTCGAACCCCCTGCACACTTCTGGCCTTAATATCCCCTCTTCCACGTCAGTCTCCAGATCCCCCACTGGTTCCTCTATCGACGCCCCAGGTCAAGGCTTCATTTCTAGGCTTGAGGCGGTGCCACCTCGTGAGAGTGACAACCACACAGCAGGCCTAAAATACATCTCCATGTCAAATACAAGCACTGTTATGACACTCAAAGACTCTCCTTCAGTGCCAATTGAAATGGCAAACACTACAAAGGCTAAAAATGCTACAACTCGAGTAGAAAATGCAAGTATGGAAGCATCTGAGGGGAACATGACCAGCAGCAAGCCAACAACAGATCTCAGTGTGAATGCTGGCGCATCAGTAAAGTCAAATTTAACTCTTTCAAAGCCCAGTTTCAACTCAAATGTGTCGAATCACAGTGGGAATCAGAGCTCAGGAATATTTGTGAATGGGGCTGTGAATCCAGACAAAAGGGACAATGATCTGAAAGATGCCCACTTTTCCCCCACGTTGCCTGCGGCCGTCAGTACCCACCAGTTTGTGACCACAAAGAACTCCTCTCCAACAGCTCCTTTCAGAGCAGTCAGTGTGTCAGCAAGCAGTGGTGGCAGTAGCAGCCTCGAAAAGGCCACGGTGCATCCTTCCCCTGGATCCCTAGCTGTGGATTTAGCAGCCAAGCCCGCATTGCCATGCCAATGTAAACAACGCTTTCATTTTACATGTCTGTGTGGACTGTCATCGGGGAACAGTATGTCATGCAGTAAAAACAAAACTGTAGATGTAGAGAATCGAAAAAAACAATCATCTGTAATGACAGTAGCATGCACTGTAAAAATTTCATCATAGTAACTTGTATTAAGTCTTAAAGTCTATTTATTTATAACTGGTGTTAACAACATTTAATTATGTTGCATATGCTTGCAGATTGCAATATAAACTATATGGCCAAAAGTATATGAACGCCCCTTAGCGCTTATATTTTAGACAGCAGCCATTTTGACATTAAATAGTAAACATAGTTGTTCATGCAGGTCAAACAGAGTCAGGGTGTTACTGCTATTGTGCATGTGGGCTAACTGGAAAGGCTCAGCTACACTAAATGAAACAGAACCTGTGTTTACTCTACTATTTCATGTCAAAATGGCTGGTGTAAGAAAGGTCTAATGTGTTCTTCAAAGACTAAAGCCAGCCCCACAATGAACCCCATCCAACACCTTTGGGATGACTTTGAACCAGGCAGGCCCAACATCAGCGCTGGACCTCACTGATGTTCTTGTGTCTGAATGGGAGTACAAACATCTTTTCTGTTCTAACATCTGGTGAAAACTATTGCATATGGCTGTAATATTTAGGTGTCCATAGACTTTTGGCCATATTGTGTGTTATTGGCTGAATCAAAACAAAAAGATGTTAAGCTCGCTGCTTTGGAAAATAGTGATTTTAAGACTGAATACATGATTAAATTGCTTCTTTAAAGGTGGTTGGGTTTTGCAGTTTGTATCTGAATAGCTGTTTTTTAAATCAATAATTAGTCTCAATTATTTTTGCCCGTATGGTAGTGGTTGAAATAAATGGCTGTCAATCAAGTGGATAGGTGCGATCCCTCAGGTACTGGAGGCGATTGAATGATTGGTTCGTCACGATTCTGGGCCCTGTGAAGCACATTAAAATTAAGTCTAGTTGTTCAATCAGACTGTAGTATTTAGCCTGGTACTTGTAGTTTAAATCAACAGATTGTAGTGTCTTGCTTCGCCTCTCTGTTCACTTCTTTGTCTTTCTTTTGTATCTGTCCATCATTACAATATCCACTATGAAGACTTCACTCTACCTCTACCTCATATTTTCTTTTTCATCTACAAAATCATCCTCAGTTTTTACGTTTCTCTCTGAGTTTTTTAGTCCATCCAGCTTCTTGGTAGAGACGTCCTGCTCTGCTGCGAGTACTCTCAGACAGTAAATAATAGACATCTCATCTCTGCAGAGATTTACACACTGCTGTGAAATCCAGTCGAAATGTTTGCAATGACCAGCTGCTCCCTAAACCTCAGAAAAACACAAAGGTCTGCAGCTTGCAGGGTCTCCCACCAGAACTGATGGAGTAGAAGTCTTCTGACTGTTCTGTAGCCTTTACTAACAATTATAGATACCGGAGCGGCACCTAGTGGCCAATGTGAAGCATAGCAGGAGAGCCGAGAGCCCTAAATATGACTCATCATAGAGGAAAATGACAAAAAGAGCTTCTGTTTGACACATCTAGATAAAGACTCGATACGCTGTGTGTCTGCTGCTGGAGAACTGCTGGACAATAACAACATTATAACTGGGGAGGAAGAGAAAAGTCTGATATTTTACATTTTGAGAAAACTGCAATGACGCTGATGTGAAATAGAACAAATTTAAGGGAAAATATAAATTATTAGGATTATTATCACAACAAATGCAACTGTTTAGAGGGAAAGTTGTCTAGAATTTAACATTTTAACTGAAAAATGTTTAAATTTTCTTCTTTTTTCTTTATCCAAATTGAGCCTGTAAGGATAAATTTGTGGTTTTTGACACTACACTATATTAATAAAATTGATTTGAATTCATTTCAGTTAATTGCTTTTTTTACCCGAGTTTAGTGCATAGCAGATCTGCTGAAACATGCAAATGTTTAAAGTTGTTCTACAGTCAAGCTTACAGTTCAACACACACAAATAAAAATAAAAAACGTTTCCAGTATGAAGTTAATATTTAATTAGGATAAAAAGGTTCCCTCAGTTTTTCCAGTCATTAAGATTTAAGCAGGTCTTTATAGAAATCAACATAAAAGCACCGCAACTAACCAAACTCACATGTTTCTCTATTTCTCTTTCCAGGAAACTTATTTGGGAAATTACAGAACCATAAAATAGAGTTTAAATTATATTTTTAACATAAAAGTCAAGAACACAGACCAGCTTAAAGTATTTGCTTCATAAATAACAGTTTTTTCTTATGTATTTGTTTTTGTCCTTTAATGGAAGCACATTTCCACCGAAGTGAGGGGGCAAAAAAGGATTCTGTAAGTCCTTATAATGAGAAACTTTCTTAAATTATTGACTTATATCTCAAAATACTGACTTAGTATCACGATGTCATTATTTTGAGAAACTTTCTCATGATGACTTACATAATCTTTTTTTTTTTTTTTTTCACATTGGCAGAAATGGGCTTCCATAAACGTCAGACTGTAGACACACAGATGTGTTGAAAGAGTCAAATCCTTTAAACAGTGAATGAAACAGTCAGATACTGTGTCTCTAAGCTGCCGCAGCAGATAGAAACATGTCCTCCTGCAGCTTATTCTGATTCCTGATGATCCCATTCACCAAAAAAAGACTGCTCTCATCTCTGCTGTCATTATCAGAACATCCCTCCTCATCACTTTACGATGTAAAATTGGATCTTTACATAACTCGATTAGCTCCAACCTGCTCGATTCTCCTGCTATGAAGCTCAGGCACTTAAAAAAAGAGCTCCGTTATATGTGTGAAACATCCTGTGCCGAATTGAGACTGAGGTATTATTTTCTTTCTCTCTCTCTCTCTTTCTTTCTTTCTTTCCTGTCATCTTCATCCTCAGAGTCGTTGTTCTACCGGATTTCTTTTGTGGTGGATGACGGAAGCGCGGCGCTGGCCCAGACTGATGTTAAGCAAGCTGTGGCACTCTGGGTAAGATGACTCCAGCTCTTTTACAAGGGCTTTACTCTTACATAAGTCCTGATAGCAGCACGAGTGGAGGATATCTGTGGTTATTCTCTGTCCCAGTGTCCCAGTGTCTCTGTCTCAGTGTTGGACTTTTAGTGCCAGGTGGAGTTGAAAATGCTTTATTGCACTACTAAAACCCCAAAAGCTTCCATGCACACAAAAAGTGGAATGAATACTTCAAAAACATGCATTTGAGATCTAAAGGTCTTTTTTCAATCCTCATCCTACATATTTGTTGTTTGTTGACAGTTTTCTAACTTTTCACCTAAACCACTGGTCCCCAGCCTTTTTTCTTCAGGGACCCATTTTCTATCACTGAGTAAACTGACTATGTGACTTTTATTACTGTTATAGATACTGCTTCTTATTATATTCAACTGATAAACTGCACAATGAACCCAAAAAGTGAACTCAATAACTGCAGGAAGTTTGTGTAAAACAAACAATTACTTCCTGTATTATGGATTGTCTTCTTTGTTAATAATCATACATAGTTAATAGGCTTCTTTTTTTGACAGATTTAGTGTTTTCTTCTCATTGTTCTATCAGCTCTTTGGTTGCAGGATGAAGCTGTTTATCAGAGACTGAAGCTTTGGCGACCCCTAGTTGGGGGTCTCAACCACTGACCTAAACCATAGATCTAAGAATAAACTTTTGTCATTGGAAAGCAAAATAGTTGGCAAAGCCCCCAAAAGCCCTTGACTCAACTTTTTTTGGAAAGGACGAGGAAGAAAGGAGCATCCTGGCAGATCGCTTCCATCCTCTCTTCAGACAGTTTGATCCTTTGAGCTCCAGGAGGCGCTCTAGTAGCTAAAAATGTGTTTGAAAAGTCCCTCATCCCAAGTGCCATTAATATTCTTATCTCTACAACGTGACTAATGAAATTTGAAGCCTCAGACAATGACATGAACTGTTTCTAAATGTGTAATGTGACTTCTTCTATGTGCTTGACTGTTTTTTTTTATTATTTTGTGTCTGCATTGGTGGAATTTGACGTGCATACATTGGTATTTTTAAAAGCACATATTAAAACAGAAACAGAAAACAATGATAGGAAATCATTATGAACACATTTATTTTTTACACCTTTAGTTAAACTTGAAAACCGCTGAGGTTTAAAATGGCCAAAAATATACTAGACAGGATAAAACAATTCAGGGAAAACAAGGTGCTAATTAAAGCTTGTCAAGAAAGTCATGAAAAATTGTAATGATAGAAAGCGTATGACAAAAGGTTGAACCTCTGGGGACTGCAGGTAGTTGGTAGGATGAGGCTTCTGAAAATGTGCTAATGTGCACGGCTGAATTAATTATTACCAAATTAATTCTAATTGGTCCTGGTTGTTGTTTTTTTGAGTGTAGTGTGCAATGTAACACCTGATTGTGGTTGTACTCTCTGCTCCCTGTAGCCCCTAAAATACAGTTTGTCACAAGAAAAACAAACATTTAAAAGTTTAACTCCGTTGTGACTGAAACTGTGGTTACTGTGGTTACTGTGGTTTGTAGGGCAGCATAGTGAGGTTGAAAAGTGTTTCAGTCCCTCAAACACTGACTCTTTGTGAGGGACTTTATAAGGAACAGGTGCAATCAATGAAACAGCCAATTCAGTTAATTAGACAGAGCAAGAAAGACTAAAATATGGAGCTCAAATCATCAAATTAAGAGCAATAAAACTAAATGGACTTTGTCTTCAGCCTCGCTTTAATCACATAACAAACAGCAGCCAGGGAGACCTGTAAAGTGTCCTGCTTCTGTAACTCGGGGTGGTTTCACCGGACGTAACGGCGCACATAACGATCTGCTGTTTACATTTTTCTTCACATAAAGTTTCACGCTGCAGTTATTTTTTTATGAGACAATATGTTTGAGGTTTGTGCCAAATAAACAGAGCACTGAATGACAGAATAAATGAATCATTTAATTATACAAAACAATGATTTCATCTCACCACGATTACATAGATCCTAATAAATACATTAACAGATGCACATTTTAATAAAGCTACACATATAATGTTAAAAACTCTTATATTAACTGAGATAGGAACAGTCCCAAACTACTTAATGCAAGATGTTAATAATTTCTACAATGATAAAACTTTACTTTTTATTTTAAAGTTAATTTGTGCAAACAGCAGAAACCTATAGATGAAGTGTATTAGTAAGGGAACCCGATTCATACGTACAGATCAAAAACAGGAACATTTTGTTTTATTGGTTGTGTGATTGATGTGTTTTCTTCTTCCAGCTCAATCAAACCTTTCAGAACTGGACCCATGCAGTCTACGTAGACTCCATCAGGTAATTCATCAAAGCAACACCTGAAACAAACGAGAGCAGGACGGAGCTGTACACTTTATCTTTAAAACAATGACAGACTGCAGATAAGTTCAGTTTCATTCAGTTCTTTCTGATGATCATCAGAAGTTTAAAACACTCAAGAGCCTGAAATGGACCGGTACTCACCAGAACCGAGTACTAGCACTGGACTGATTTTTGTCCACATGAGTACCCTTACTTCTTGAGCATGGCCGTCCCCACTGCTGAGCTCACCAAGGTCTGAAACACTTTATAAGAATCCCCAAAGATTAAATAATATTCATGGCAGTTTTTCAAAAGTTAGAAATCTGAAATTGTATTTTGGTGTTTTTGTTACTAGGGATGAGTTCACCATTACTCTTTTGATTTGAGTAGAATACTCAAATACCCAAGTATTTATTGTGAAGGTAACTTGGCTAAATTAAGTTAATTGTACAAATTCCATTTAGTTAATTGAAGTTACACTCATATGCAGCATTTCTCTGAACTTATTCAAAATATATGAACAGAATTTATCTGAATAAAGTCACTTAAATGCATTTTCTTTATACAAATTAGCTCTCAAGTGGAATTTACTCAGTTTTCTTCCATGTTAAGTCCTACTGACGTAAGATAAAAAACTATTTATAATTAATTGATTATCAAAATGGTAGTAATTTCCTGTGTTTTTTAATCAAATCTTTATGATCATCAAGAATTTTTGGCTTATGATGATTAACAAACTGAAATAAAAACAAAAATTGTAAATTCCTAAGCTATACAGCATCATAATTTCTACATTTTTATAATCATATAAGGTCAACTTCAAGATGAGTCAATGCAACAAACTACAATTATATTGTCTGTACTTAAAATTCTGCACAAATTTAAGTTCATTTAAAAAACTGAGTTGCTTCAACTATTCATTTTTGAGTTGGCTTTAATTGATGTGAATGTGTGACTCCAGTTTGTTTGGAAGATTAAGTTAATTTTATTTAGGACGTGTTGTCAGGTTTTACTGCTGTTTTCTGACCTCTTCACCGTTGTTTCTCTCCAGTGTTCAGCCTGGTTTGCAGAGCGGGGGTAAGCCGTCGAGGTAAAACATTTAACTCCTTTCTTTTATACTGAATCAGTCATACAGTAAGTGTATCAGCTGAAAACATGTGCTTTTAACCTCCTCAGACGCGTTTTTGAGCCTGATTGTGATTATGGTCTCTTATGATCCTTTCATATCTTCGAGTCTGCAACTTTATTTCAAGTTTGTTTTGTCTCTCGGGTCCAGTTTCACCTGCCAGGCCCTTCTGGTTTATTATTACATCACAAATCAGAGTCTGGGCGAAATGGCTGTGTTATCGCGGCTGTCAAGCAGCGAGGGACTCCTGGGTGCGGGCCTGCAGATCCAACCTGCCTCCACTGTTGTCAGATTGATTGGTGAGGAACTGCACAAAAAAAAAGTCTCCCTTTTCTCTCTAATTTGTCTCCCTGTGAAGTAATCTGCTTAATCCCAGCCTCCGCACTCAGAGATAACACACAGTTGACACTGATGCATCATTGTAAGATCCCTGTGATCTAAAAACAAGGTCCTTATAGGCACTGTAAAACCAGATAAGGTAATTTAACTAAAATTAAATTAAAATTGTTAAAACTGATTGCACTGAAAATTTTAACTTAATTTTGTAAATTAAAAATGTTTTTGATTGAGAAGCTTTAGTAATTTTAAGTGACACAGATTACATTTTTGTACAGTGAAAACAAAATTCCTAGTAAAATTTATGAGGTAATCAGTTTCAACTGTTTTTTGAGTTAAATTAACTTTTTTTGGTTTTAAACAAAAAAACCCACAAAAACGAAAATGAAAATTAAAAGAAAAGAAAAAGCAACTAGCTTACTTTGTCTTTTTGATATTAGCATTTAGCATTTAGCTAAACTAAAACTTCCTTTAGAAATAATGTGTGCGACAACAACATCGTTTTACTCATACTCCACTACTACTGCCTCTTCATTTTATTATAAACATTGTTTTATTGTGAGAAATGCAGTAACGTCACGCTGAACCATGGCCGGATCTAGACATCCATCCATACTGACAGCGTTTCTTCAATCTCTTTTGGGGGAAAATGCTCATTGATAGACATTAAGAATATATAAGTATGTTAGGTTTTAGAGGTGGGAAGTAACAAAGTACAAATTTGTTACTGTACTTAAGTAGTTTTCTGTACTTTACTCAAGTATTTATTTTTCTGACAAAATGTTTCCTTCCTACATTTTTAACCAAATAGCTGTACTTTCTGCTCGTTACACTTTAAAAACAGGCTTGTTACCTCAGTTTTAATGCATTTGGGGAGATTACTTTATTTTGCATTATTGGGTGCCTCTCACATGTGACGGACGTAAAACAAGAGACAGAGAAGAGAGAGAGAGAGAGAGAGAGAGAGAGAGAGTTAACCAGTTCAGATTCAGTCAGCTTGGCACAGAAACAGCTGATAGACACGTCCTTCAGACAAATCAAGAGAGTATTTTTATACGTAACAACAATGTCGGGCAGACAACACGCTCTGAAGACAGTCTGAAACGCTCTCGATGGGGCTAGAAGACCCATGGATCACGGAGCCAAACCGCGTGGCGTCATAAAGGCGTGCCCAGTTGAATTTCGGGGGTTGAGTAATGAAGTTGAATCAGTTCTGCTTTGACTGGAGTTGTTTTTTACACAAGTATCTTCTACACTTCTACATGAGTAATGAATGTGTGAACTTTTGCCACTGCTGACAAAGTGAAATCTGTGAAACATGTTTTTTAGGACGGGCGTCTGAACTTTTGTTTTCATTAGGTGTATTAGTGTAAGAATGGGATAATAGTAGCAGATGTGTGTCACTCCCTTTTCCTGCCTCCTATCAAGACTCCACAATGGAAATAAGCCATGTGATTTTATTGCAATATCCTCATTCATTTTAGTGTATCGTATTTAAAATCAATCAATATTGTGGTTTTGTTTTCCCATGATACACCTTTCTTCAGCCTTGCTGAACACAAACAGTTTCTTTCTCTGCTTTTCTTATTTGATTCATTCTCTCTATTTGTTATTCATGGCTTTTGTTGATTATGTCCCGTGTCTCCTACGTCTGGAGTTTTGTTATCTGTACATTTCTTTTGTCCAACCTCTCTCTCTCTCTCAGACCGGTGTTTTCTTTGGCTCTCGTGTTCAGCTCGTATTTCATTTATCTTTTCCATCTTGTTATCATTTAAATGTGACACTTACACTTGTTTTCCCTCCTGATAGAAAACTGCCCAGAGGAGAATCCGCTCCACTACCGCTGGCCCAAAAGCCGACCCACCGTCACTCAGTACCTGCCCTGCTTCCCCAACAAGGACCAGAGCACCTCCAGGACCTGGTAACACACACACACACACACACTGAGTGGATCTGGAACTGCGCTTAATCAAGTTTTTTGATCAAATGAACTCATTCTGAAGGTCTGTGTGTTTGCATGTGAAGATCATTTGTTTGGTTTCCATTATTTCTGACCTAGCATAAAAATGAGCTTGTAGAGATTTGTGCTCCATCACATCATGTCTACGTTTATTTCGGTCGAAGGTTTCTTGTTGATCAACTCAGTTTTATTATAACTGCATCACCACACAGTAACAAAGCCACTATGATGCACATATAAGCAGACAACATCAGTGAGGGAAACTAGACCGTCCTCATTAGAAAAAACACAGAATGGGTTCATTTTTTCAACTTATAACAGCATATGTTTACTTTACCAATGGAAAAACACGAGTTCCTCTTTGGTGATGGTATTTCCAGGACAGTGAAATGTAATTTGTTGGGTTCTCCGTGTGAGCGTCGAGGAAGGTAACTCTGCATTAATCACCGACAGTCAAACAGCTCAGTTTGCGCTCAGCTCGTACCGACAGATGGCCAATTTCACTTCTGACAGAAAACAACAAGAAGTCCTGGAGGAGCTTCTTTGTTCACAGAGTGCATGAATACAAACTACCTTCCAGAATCTGCTGGTGATAAACTGAACCAATTTATCTTCCAAACTTATGTTGTTTTCTTCTCTCATGAGACATTACACCACTGATGCTGAAATATAGATATATAAGTTATTAATGAAGATTAAATTCTCAGATAGTGGTCTTTTATTGAGAGTCAGACCATCCAGTTTCTAATTTTCACTGCTTTTCCTGTTTCCTTTTAACTCCTCCTGCAGTTCCACAGCAATAATCACAAATCAACCCTTCATAAGTCCCGCCCCCTTTTGCTCTGTGCTCCAATCACAGTTGAGCAAACCTCGGTCAACTTCCTCCTTTCCTGTACTTAGATATGCTATGCTATGTTCAAATCCTGCCTTGGATTTTTCTATAACTTATGACACAACTCCTGTTTGTTATTCAGACAGCAACAATAAAGTGTCATCTTGTCTCTGTCCCTCTTTTTCTCAGTTTGATCAACCTACAGAACTACTCTACCTACTGGTCGGCTGCAGACATCAGTAACTGCACGGACATCGACGACATCCAGGTGTCCGCAGGTACGCTCAGCCAATCAGATCCTAACACTGAGGCATATGCTTAATTCAAGTCAAATGGATATAAAGATAGAATCAAAAGAATGTTTAAAAAGGTAGAATGATTATCTATTAACGCCGTGACGATTGGACTCACGAATAAAACAAGCAACCTGATCAGAATCTACACATAACTGTCTTTGGTTGAAACTGCTACTTGTTAGCTTCCTAACATTACTCCAGAATGTAGCGTCATTTCGTTGTAACCAATTACAATAGAGAACGAGACGTTGGAACCACTAGTTTCAGTTATCTTAACTTTGTTTTTGAGAAACCACGTTTTATTCGTCAGACGGCTCTAAATACTACAATACCCATGAGGTGCGAACTCAAAACACTTTGTTGTTATAGTTAAATAAAAAGATTAGTTCTATTCTCCTATTTATTTTAACAAATACGATATTAACAGATATTGAAATGGAATATGTGTAAATCATTAACTGTGTCTGTTTTTGTTCAGAAAATGCAGCCGAGGTGGCGGTGCAGCTCGCCGTCATCACCAACAACGAGCTGTCCAATGAGGAGGTGGGAGTCCAGACTTCTCTCTCTGATCGTACGGAGATCCCGTGAGGAGTGTGAATAAACTCTTCTTCTTCTCCTCTTCCTCTCTGCAGGTGTCCAAAGTGGTGACGAAGGTGAAGGAGCTGGTGAACGTGGCGAAGATCAACACCACGTTAGCCTCCACCGTCGTCACCATCATCTCCAATGTCATGGCCAGTTCAGAGACGGCGCTCGCTGCCACGTCCGAGAAGTACGGTCCAATTTATATTACTATATTACTGAACTCTACTGTACTATACTCTACTCTACTGCACTCTACTCTACTGTACTGTACTCTACTCTACTGTACTTGACTGTACTGTACTATACTGTACTTTACTGTACTGTACTCTACTCCATTCTACTGTACTGTACTGTACTTTACTGTACCTTACTGTACTTTACCTTACTGTACTTTACTGTGCTCTACTGTACTTTATTCCACTCTACTGTACTGTACTGTACTGTATTCTCGTCCTCCACTACACTTCACTTAATAACTTTTGATAATGACACGGTCACTTCTCCGCGCTCAGAGCTCTGAAGACGGTTGATGAGTTGGTTCAGAAGATCGAGTTTGAGGGTTCGTCGATCAACATCACCTCCAGACACCTGGCTTTGGCGATATCTGCCATCAACACCACCATGTTCAACGGGACGTCCTTCAGCGCCTTCATGGCTCCGAACACCAGCCACCCGCAGGTAACGCTCATTCTTCACGAGAAAAAAACCTTCAACTGTCACCGAGCTTCAACAGGATGCATCATACTCTCGTTCAGGTTTACCCATAAAGCTGTTTTGGATGAAGATAAGGTTAATAAGTAAATTCACTCGAGGTGTAATTTTATTTAATGCCGAGTTGGTAATATACGCTGCTGGGGCACCAAGAAAAATGACAAAATAATTCTGTTATTATTTGATTTTCTTTTCTTTTAATCTGAATTTTAAAGTTAACGAACTGTAATAAAAGTAATTATCTGTGAGATTACAGTAATTATTGCTGTTTTCACTGATAAAAACTGTATTTTGACAATTTACCAATGTATAAAATAATAATTAATTAGTTCAATCAAATGAACTAACAACATTTTAATCAAAAAATTTAATTAAAAAACAATAAATTCTTTCAAAAATGACATTAATTCATTCATTTAAAAAAAGAACTGATGTCAATAATACAGCAAATTAAATGTGTTATTTTTACACTTTTATAGTGTTTATATTTTCTCTTAAAACAGTTTTACTGTTCATACTGTTGTATTATGGACATTATGTGTTTGCAGTAACACATTAACATAAAATGTTTTAAATAAAAACAAGGATAATGCTAATTGCTAATGCTAATTAAACCGGTTCTACATACAGAGCAACATGTGAGTTGTGTCCGTAACGTTATGCTGTCCCCTGTCCATCTGAACTGATCTGAGTGTCACTGTGGTATCAGCTGTTCTTCCTGTCCATCTGAACTGATCTGAGTGCTCTATCTGTCTCTCTCTCTCTCTCTCTCTCTCTCTCTCTCTAACTTCGTCCCTCAGATTAATTTCGAGTCGGAGAGGATGAACGCTTTAGCTCAGGTCACCCTGCCTGCCTCTCTGCTGTACAGCAACTCCCTGAGTGAAGCCGAGAGGTCGACTCTGTCCAGGATCAACTTCATGTTCTTCAGCAACACAAACCTGTTCCAGGTCGGTCCAGCACACAAACACAACCTCCACCTGGATGAATAAAGCTACATAAAGTATGTTTACCGTGGGTTGTTTTTCCAGAAAGAGCAGGACGGTCGCTCTTTGAACAGCTACGTGGTGGCCAGCAGCGTGGGGAACTTCTCCATCAGTAACCTGATGGAACCAGTGGAGATAGAGATCGCTCACCTCTCTGAGCAGGTACAGGAGAATCTGAGTGTACACGGGTCTGATTGGGAGCTCTCTCTATTATTTCATTTTATTATTATGGCATTTATTTTTGTGAATTTACTCTTTGAAAAAAAAAAAAGCTTTTTCTCCCGGCATGTATTATTTTTCTTACATTTATATTTTTTATTTTTAAATATAATATATTTTTTTATTCATTTATATTTGTGTTATTTTTTACTCTTTTTAAAAAAAGTTTTTGGCAGTTTGTTGGACCTGGAAGGAGTTTTACAGCTTTAAGCGAGTATTTCAGTTTTCCCTCCAGAATGTAATTCCTGGCAGTGAGGAGGCTTTGAAAAAGAAGTGAAACCTTCCTACAGGGAAGCATAATTTACAGGGAATGAATACTGAACAGCCAGGACTCCACAATAAGGATTGCTTAAGACCATTCTTAAATGTTAAAACATACTTTCTGCTATTCACTTTTTTTACCATTTGGCTGATCGAGCAAAACACATTGATTTTTCTGGAGCTCATAGCTGAAGTAGCTAATGAGCGATCTCAGAAAGAGGAATCAGGTTCATGGACAGATGGATGGAGGAGTTTGGGTGAAAAGATGGGAGGGAACTGTGTAGGCACTGAGACTCGGAGTGGGAGAAAAAGAAAAAGAAAGGGTTTGGGGGGGAGGGATGTGAAAACTGAGTGAAAGAGGGAGTGAACTGCTCACAGTATATATAAGCCTCCAGTTCTGTGAAGTGAAGCCATTGCGAAAGTGTCTTAAACCTGCATTCTATGTAATGACCAGCAGGTGGAGCTCCATTAATGCAATAAAGGCATTGTTTCCTGCTAAGGACGAGTCGAAACTGCGTAGCCAATGAGAGCAGCTCAACTCGCAGTACATCACCTCCACTGGCTCCAAAAAACTGTCATGGCGACGTTTGTAATTCAAAATGGTTCTCCACAAACCAGTGGGTGATGACACGATAGGTTCACACTTGGAGGATAAGGTGTGCTCAAGTACTTTCTGTGCAGAAATGAGATGAGCTTCAGGCGTGGTCTTTGTCCCCAAAACTTCATATTGTACAGTTTTCTGCAAATTGGATAAAACAGGGTTGTTTATTCAATGGCACATCAAGTTTCTGAAAAAAACATCAGCATCTAAGGCAGCTTAGAGGGTCCTTCTTGTTATTTGAAAACTGCTAATAAATACAAATTGACTTTGGGCAAGTAGATTTCTGACTAACCGGGCAAGAGAAAAAAAACTGGTCTTGCCTGTAAAAGAGAACTCAAGGAATAACTAATCGAAAACCTTCATTTACACAGTAGATTTCAAAATAAAGGCAAATAAATCTTGCTAATCAAAGTAGTTATCAGGTGATATCTGTGAGACGAATATAGATTGCGTCTGAGCTGCTACTTTGGTGAACTTTATACTTATTACATTCTTGTTCTCTCCCGACAGCCCTCCCTGAATCCAGTCTGTATGTTTTGGGACTTCAACATGAACAGTAAGTCTTTCTACGTCTGTCGTCGCTTCACTGTGAACATCTCAGGTTCATCACAGGTTATCAGACCTACAGGGAGCCGAGAAACAATATACCTTGAGTGTTCTCAGGAAAACCTCCCATCTGTTAAAGTTTCACGTTCTAAGTGCAAGTGCTCTTTTCATCAACTTGGCTCATCCGCTGGGATTGTGACCGATGCAGTTTGACAAACTCTGAGCTTTACCTTTTTGATTTATATGTTGGTGGTTCAGGCCACATGTACATGTAGAGAAACCTCCACATTTCCAAAGAAATGTGCACGCCCTATTGAATTTAAAGGTCCAGGAGATTAGAAGTATACACAGTAGGTCTATATATCAGCATTTTGTTCATTTCTGTGAGGGAAAACTAAATGAAAATAGAAGTTTAGATTACTATTTAAAATCTAGACATTGAAGGCCTGAACACAGGCTAATAGATAAAACAATGGCCAAGCGTCAGGGAGAAGTATTTGTGAAAAAAACAACCAATTAAGTATGTATGATTACAAAAAAAAAAAAAACTACAGACAGGGAACTGCCTGACATCCCTGGTCAATATTCACAGGAAATAACCTGGTGAGTTATTGTGTTCTCTGTTTGGGTTTGTTGTAGAGTTTATCAGTTGTTCTCCGCCGTCACTGTTATGCATAAAACAAATAATAAATAATATGAAATATCAATAAAACTTGGTCAGGGGTCATCAGTTCATGAATGATACAAGAGGCGTTCCTATTTCATGTAAAATGTCCAGTCTTTTATGCGTCTGTGCCTATAATGAGCCCATTGTAGACCCCTCTAGGAAGTTCAGTTTTTGGACCTCAGTCTTTCTTAAACCCTGCGTAGAGCAATGCTGGTGAGGTACTCCTAAACGCCTGCGTATCTGTGACTACATGTAAACACAGCTAGCTTAACGTCAAGAAAACAGCACTGAAAATGTCCTTGTTAAAAAGGATAAATATCGGCAAAAGAATTCGGATTAGGGTTGTGCTGAATTACGGTACTGGCACCTTTTTTAGTCCAATTCAGCCACTGATCATCGGTTTGGTGTGTGCAGGCGTTAACTGTCAGTGCTTGAGTTGCTTAAGTTTGTGTTGCACTTTAGTAGTTTATCAGCAGTGTTTCACCCAGTGGGATTCTGCGGGTTGCTGATCTTGACTGACCCATTTGGTATTTGTCAGAAGTTCAGGTCACATTTGTATCAAGGTTCAGCTTTATTTTCGTTATTCAGCCCAGGATGGCACAATGAAAATGTCGTTGTAGACCACCTCCACACTCAACAAATATTCAAATATTTAGTAGAGGAACAAAAAATAAAATAAGTACTACAACTGAAATATATCAGGGGCTTGGAGCCATGTTGGGCTAATATGCGTATTATATATCAAATGAAATCTCTCAGTAAGATCTTTTCACTGCCAATAGGACACAACTGAAATGATGACCCATAGGTTGAAAGTTGTAAGTGTGCTTTAAATGTGTCAGATGAACACAGGAGTCCCAGGACACATCAATAATGATAAGGGCACTCCAAAATGTATTAAAAAGGTTGATGTGCATGCAGTTATAGATCAGTATCAGTTGATTTTATATGTTCCTTGTAGCCTATAATTTAAAAACCTTGAAGGTTGCAGAGCATTACTTCTAGATGAAAATATTCGTTCTTATCTTTTTTCCTTACTGATTGATTAAAGTGCAATTGTGTGTACATTTAATTGAAAATGAATGTGGTTCACGTACGTACGCCCATATTCTGCATAGTCTACCGGGAAAATGTTTCTGCCAAAAAGGTTTACCTCATTCTTTTGGCATTTTACAACTTACACACAATTTAAACTGTAGAAATATAGCTTTTATAGTCATGCTGAATCTGAAAAAAGATCAGATATTGTGCTCAGTACAAAGCAACAGCAGCTTCAAGTTCAATAATTAAAGATAGATAGATAGACCTCCAAATATGTGAAAATAAAATTTTGGTTCACTTTTTAAATTCAAACCAAGTAGACATAAACTTCAGCTTCAACATTTATTTTCAGTAGTTCCTTTTGAAAAACTGAATTTTATTTGCAGTAAAAGACAAAGCATTCTTCTTAAGACATATTTCATGAACAACTCGAACAATACATAAATAACCGCCACCAAATATGATAAATAAAAATATGTTTCTGTGCAGAGGTGATTGTAATGTGCAGTAACACCTCTGTGCTGCCACCAGGGGGTGCTGGAGGTTGGAACGGAGAGGGCTGCAGAGTGTCCAAAGAATCCAGCAGCAACAAAACCATCTGCCTCTGCGACCACCTGACCCACTTTGGTATCCTCATGGTAAGACTGAACTGTGATCTAAGGCCAGGAAATATTTTCTAGCGGAGCTGTGCTGTTGTTGTTTTTTTCCTAATGTTTGGAATAGAATTAATAAGTTTATTAAAAACTCAGGTTGTGTAATCAGTTTGATGCCATTTTCATTAGAGAAGGGAGAAGAGTTTTTTGGAGGGAACAAACAGGTCAGAAGTTTAAATCAGAGCCTGTCAGGTGTTTGTGGTGTCCAGTTAAGGATGTCAAGATGCTACACAGAAGAATTCATAAGGTCTTTAGTGCAAACAGCTGTGAAACATCATGAGCAACATGTGATATTGGATTTATTTATTGCGTGTTTTTTATGGGTTTGCTTTAATGTTTTGCCCGTTCATTCACTGGTTTCACATTTTAATTGTCTCCAGAGCTCCACTGATGATGAATATGTGTCTGTTATTGTATGTCTGCTTTGACCCGTTTGACTTCTGGTCTCTTTTGTTTTTAATTGTGCATTGGCGATAAAACCCCTCCTGGCGGTTAATGCTGTCTGTCAGTGTGCCTGCGTGTCCAAAAGCTAATTTTTAACCAATGAGAATTACAGCACAGCTTCTAACCTATTTTTCAGACTTACCCCCACAGATCTGTCAGATTTCATCAACTTGATGAACATCAACAATCATGTTGATTTCATCATCATTGATTTTTAACTGGATGCTATTTAACAGAATTGACTATATAAAGGTGATTATTGTTAGAACCATTTTGTATTTTTGTTTTCTTGTCAATTGGGAATGACTGAGACACATATTTTATCCAACCCCTGCATAAGTCAATGCCCAACTTCTACAGAATGCCATTAAGTGTACATTCTGTAGAGATGTGGGATCAGATTCAGTTTAGATTACAGTTAATATGAAGATGTAACGTTATGCCACGTTAGCTTTGTTTTAGCTTTGTCAAGAGTTGCTAGCCATGTTCATCACGCTTCATTCGATCTGGTTGTGAGGGATTTTCAACCAACAAGGAATGTTAGCCAGGTTAGAGCAAGAGTCTCTCACAATGTCCCTGCAGGCAAATATGTTGACAATAATCAATGCTTTAATTAGACTAATTATTTACCACATTAATTGGTTATGTTCGGAATAGAATGATCATTAAGGTGCATCTGTTTTATTGTACTGTCTGTGTCTGCAGGACATTTCTGGAGCTTCGCCCCACATAGACCCGCAGAACAACAAGATCCTGACCTTCATCACCTACATCGGCTGCGGCATCTCTGCCATCTTCTCAGCTGCCACGCTGCTCACCTACATTGCCTTCGAGTGAGTCACGTCAGTGAAGTTCAAGAAATTTAAAAAACAAATTGTTTGAGTGGTTTGGATGAGTTGCAACTGTCAGCAAAATCACATTTCGACCACATGCCTCTTTCCTACCCACAGAAAACTACGGCGTGACTACCCTTCCAAGATCCTGATGAACCTAAGCACGTCTTTGCTGTTCCTGAACATGGTCTTCCTGTTAGACGGCTGGCTAGCCAGTCTGGAAACCGATTGGCTGTGCCTGTCTGTTGCCGTCTTCCTGCACTACTTTCTGTTGACCTCCTTCACCTGGATGGGGTTGGAATCCATCCACATGTACATCGCCCTGGTCAAAGTCTTCAACACCTACATACGCCGATACATCCTCAAGTTCTGCATTGTCGGATGGGGTGAGGGCCTTAAACTGTGATAATAAGATAAGAAAACATAGGAAAATAGAAAGCTTTTTGCCTCTGCACATTTATGTATTTCCGGTAAAAACAGGCAATTAAGGAGGGACTTAACTAGCCAATAGTGCTGTCAAAAGCACAAACCAGGACTACCAGAAAAGAGGACAGTTTGACTACAGGGAATAAAGTACCAACATGGTTTTATTGCTGGTTTTGGCTCCTGCCAAGTCAGCTAATGTTAGCTGTATGAGCTAACTAGCTAACAGCATCTAACATAACTGTTGGCAACAGTAAGATTCTTTTAGCAACAAGTCCATCTGGAAACTCCATAAATCACCTCGGTACCGCTGTCATCATACTGTCCTCTGTCTGTCTCGGAGGTTGTGTTCATCCTTACATAAGCGTGCATCACATTTTGTTTTACAGGAAGACAAAATTAATGGATTTTGACAAAAAACAACAATGAAGGAATCAAGTTTTTGTACATTTTTTGGTATACATCGTTAAATATGGGAACAATATGATCGAGGATGCAATCTTAAAGGGTAAAAATTACATTTTTCATTTCACCTGGAGATTAAAATAGTTGAAACATTGCCACAGTTGATGATTTAGTGTCAATTTGAACATAATTGCTGAGTGAAGCTGAAGAGACTTTTGGCATCTCCATACAGACGCACAAGTTGCCCTTTCATCGAACTCCAGTGTTACCCATTGGTGTCATACTGTGAACAGGGGACTCTTTATCTACACTTACATTGCAGGCCAATGTGTTTCATGTAAAAAAAAGTAGCTGCTCAACAAACAGGAAATGCATTTTGTTTTTGCATTTGTTGGGGTCTATTTTCAGCGGCAGATAAATCCATATTTGGAGTTCTAGTGAGTAGCTGGGGCAACTGTAACTTGGTAATACAACTGATTTTATTTTCATTCATAAAAATATGATAACTGGGTGATTATTGGCTTGGCAGCAACAAAAGAGTCCAGAAAGGAACAACACTGATGTTCAACTGTGGATTATCGTCTTGTTCCAGGTCTGCCGGCAGTGCTGGTCGGGATTGTTGTTGCTATTGATAAAAACTCTTACGGCTTGCAGGAGTACGGCAAAGGAGAGTCAGGAGAGGGATCCTCAGAGTTGTAAGTGACCACAGAAGTAAATACATAGAGACAATACAGTCAAATATTTGTAACATAAACTTTTTCTTGCTTCATCAAAATCTCTCTGATGAAGTTCTTACATCAAGCATACAACATAATATACAGGAAGTCCTTTTTTTAAAATTCATTATATTACTGTCTGTCCTCAGCTGCTGGATCCAGAATTCAGTCGTCTTCTACATCACCTGCGTAGGTTACTTCTGTCTGGTGTTTCTGCTGAACGTGGCCATGTTCATCGTGGTGATGCTGCAGATCTGCGGCCGCAACGGCAAACGCAGCAACCGCACACTGCGAGAGGAGGTAAATATTCACGCTCAAAGTAGTTTCCTCTGACTTCTTATGATTAAAATGTCACTTTTACCTCACCTTATGCCGTTTAAAGTTTTACATTTACACAGATGAACGGTCAAAGAAGAGCAGAGAATTATGTCATAACCTCAGACAGGGCGGCATATTGAGCTGTGATCTGCAGCTAAGAAATGTAATTTCATTACTATTACCAGTGTGTAGGATTTAGTGGCCTCTAGTTTCAAATTGCAAATAACTGAACACCGCTTGCATCTGTATTTGATGACATGGGAATGAGAACGGCCTTTGAAGACTAAGAAGTCTCAAGTGAAGTCCCAGGTCCTAAAGAGTTTCAAGTCTTAAATACTCTTGGAAGTGAATTAAACATGTCAAGATTTTATACACTTCAAGAAACTGCAGCACAACTGTGAATGGAAAATCTTTTGTTCCAGGTCCTACGAAACCTGCGGAGCGTCATCAGCCTCACCTTCCTGCTGGGTATGACCTGGGGCTTCGCTCTGTTCGCCTGGGGACCCGTTAACCTGGCCTTCATGTACCTCTTCTCCATCTTCAACTCACTGCAAGGTAACTAGAGTGGGACTAGTTACTTTTACAGTTAAATAGATATCTGTCTTATATATCTGTTTATCATCTAGTGTTGGGCAGTAACTCATTACTTATTATAATATTATTCTCTCCAGTAACTAGTAGTGTAATTATTATATATATAAATGTTATTACAAATATATTTTAGTTACATACCCAAAAAATAATTAGTTAGAATATTATTTTTGCTGGCACTCCAATTTGAAATCCAATCACATTCTTGGATTCATTTTTGTAATCGTGGAGGAAAATCATTTGGAAAAGCTGTAAATACTCCATTACTTTGATTTTAACAAACAAAACTGGATTTTAATTGTCGTAAGTCTAAATTTTGGGAGAAAGGACACAATTACCAATTTTGTGGGGAGCAGAAAAGTAATAAAGTTTGTAGTGTAACTAATTACTGTTAGCGGGAAGTAATAGGTAAAGTAATAAATTACCTTTTTTGAGTAACTAGCCCAACACTGGTGGCAGGTTGCAGATTGCAAGCAACTGAATACTGCTCAGCCCTCCAAGTGCGTTAGAGAAACTACGACGGCTACAAAAGCCCTATTAGAGCCAGATGAATATTGAAACCTTTACAGAGGAAAAATTATATTTGTGGAACTTTATTAACTTTAACTTTAATATTTTATTGATTATGTAAATTCCCATGTTATTTTTATTCATTAGGTGACTAGATTTGAAAGTAATCTGACCCACCACTGGTGATATTTTTGTGAATTAAACCCACAAATGGATCAAGCTCAGCCTTTTGGTGCATTCACATGGTGGAGGGGATGGGTAGTAGAAACTGGAAAGGTTGTAATGTTTACAAATTCCAAATATTCACACCATCTGACGACAAGCAGTAAAACTGATTTTCTTCCTTCACTCCAGGTCTGTTCATATTCATCTTCCACTGCGCCTTGAAAGAAAACGTCCAGAAGCAGTGGAGGAGGTACCTCTGCTGCGGCCGATTCAGGCTGTCAGACAACTCAGGTATCTGTCTCTCTGTCTACCTGTCTGTCTGTCTCTGAAGATTCAGGAGAGAACAATAAAGCTCATTCACGTCTCTACAGGTGCCCTGTCAAATCTGTCTGCGGGACTCCGGCCAGATTCCCACAGTAGAAGGCACTTTATTAAAACATAAAACCTAAGTCAGCGCGGCTTTGCAGCTAATAAAAAAAGATAAAACAGAGCGGACTCTTAAAGGCCAGGTGAACTTAGTCTGAGGATGTTTACTGCTGCCATTTCATTTACAAGAAGGCTGAAAAGCCGGTGCGCTTCCTTTATGCATCTTCATACCAAAAATACCAAGTTATTTGTTGTGTGAAAGCATATGAAATGGCATTTAGCCACATAATTTGGAAAAGAATCATAGAGGAAAACAAAACGAGTTTATGTTCTTGTTATGTTTTTATTAAAACATCTACCTTTTGCCTTCAAGGTAGATGATGATATTTATTGACTGTAATTAGCGGCGTCCTGAACAACAGGAGCGACCAGGACTAAATAACTTTCACGTGTGTGGCAACAATGCTTTGTGACAAAAGATAACAGTGCCTAAGTTTGCTTACTAATTTCAGTCCGAGCCTCGCAGCCAGCAACATGTTCCAGCAGATGACACACTCTTCAGTCTTTTTGCAATAGGTTACAGATCTGAAAGCATTAAAAGTGAATTGATGTGCACATATGAGCCAAGACAAACAGTGGTAAAATTAATTTTGTTTTCATCAGTGAAATTTTTGTCTCATTTTGTGCATTTTTATTTTTATCTTTGGATGGAAATATTGGTTGTAGCACCACCATGAGGTTGACTTTTGTGATTTTGAGCGAAATATTTCAACTTTTATTGGACTGATTGCCATAAAAGGCGGTTCAGACATTCATGTTCCCTCAGGATGGATTAACCCGTCCTAAGTCCCGCCCCTTTTTGCTGTGCCTCGATCAGAACCTCGGTTTCTCCATTCCTGTACTTAGATATGCTATATGCTAGGCTAAACTATGTTGAAAAGACAACCACATTTTAAAGATGATTAAAAGATCAAAGCAACATATAGTCACACACATTTTAAGTGCTAGCTAGCTAATGTTATCAAAATACTAGCTTAACATCACCATGTTAGCATTGTCATTTAGCATTAGCTCAAGTACATCAACTGTTCAACTTTTAGTTACTAGCCAGTTAGTTCAAAAAACAGATTTTATAAGATTAAATGCTAACAACTTTTTTTTTCTCTTTCCCTCTTTTTTTTTTTTATTAAAAAAAAAAAGCAAAAAAAAAAAAGGGGGAATTTTACCCCTCCTTAATATCACCATGTTAGCATTGTCATTTAGCATTATTATAGAAGTGCTGTAGTGGAGAAACCTTCAGAAACCTTCAGTGAGTTCCATCCCTGCGGGAGAGCCATTCTTATTTATTTCGTAATTGTAATATTTATATTTGAATCCCCAAATTGTCCCGAACCTGCCATGATGCACATCTGTTCTGTATTACTAATGTCTGTTATGTAATTAATCCTGACAGTATCCCATGTTGTGGAGGGGAAAGAAAGTGAGGGGAGACTCCTGAATAGGGAAAGTTGAACGAAAGTGGTTTCTGTGTTGCAGACTGGAGTAAGACAGCCACCAACAACACAAAGAAAGTGAGCTCGGACAACCTGGGCAAGTCTCTGTCCTCCAGCTCCTTCGGCTCCAGCACCGCCAACTGGACCTCCAAAGCTAAAGCTACGCTCAACCCCTTCACCAAGAGACACAGCAACACAGGTGAGACACAGAGACGAGGAGATGGATGATAGCAATCAGTTATCTCACAGGACAAATGTGAAATGGAGATCCTGTGTGGGGATTAAGAAAAAGATTAACTTTGATGTGTAGTTTCTCCACAGATTTATTTAAAGCTTGTCTAAAGTTTATTTCTCTTGGAAAATTTGGTTTTATTGCTTGAATAATACTTATTCCTGATATTCATGAGTATGTAAATCGCCTTGTTTGTTTGATCAATCCAGAACTGTAAAAACCCTCTGATGTGCAAGAATCATGTTTACATGCAGACTCAAACATTCTGAAACACACACTTAAAAAAAAAAGGTTTGGGAACCAAAACTAATTTTCTCTGTTTAGGAAAATATCATGGTTTCAGTAAAATAGGTAAGTTATGTTATGTAAGTCACGTGATGGGATGTTATGTAAATGTTTTATATATTCACTGCTACTATATGTCGCATTAGAGCACAAAGCATCTCTGACCAAAACAAATGGACGCTACCCACCAGACTCCATAGACAAAACATTTAAAAAAAAAAAACATTTTCTCTGACGCAGATAATCGTAAAACACTCCTCAAACTGGACAGAAAGTTTGAGGTGAAGAGAAGAACTTAAAGTTAGTCTATCCAACAATCAACAATGCTAGTTTGGTCAAAATAAACCCTTAATTCACAGAGTTAGATGTAAAAATATCTGCAAAATGGGTTGCAATGGCTGCCATGTAATATAAGCTAATCCTTGGAAACATCTACTAAAAGTAGTCGTTGACACTGACAACATTATGGCAAGGATCCCAAATTTTCATCATAACTTCATTCAAAGTGGACAGAAACAAAATAAAACCCACAAAACCGTCTCTGTTAGTCTTTCCAACAGTCACCAACTCTGGTTTGGTGGAAATAAATCCATTATTCACTGACGAAGATGATGGAAACAGCACTTTCAGTCTTTATACACGTCATTCTTTGCTCAAGACACCATGACTCCATTATATCGCCACATAGCAAATAGTTGTTTGCAGCTATATTGTTTGAAATCTCATATATAACCTTAAAGTATTTGACTCCTTACCCCTACAGAGGTCACCGCGTAGCAATAAACGTAAATATGAGTCGTATATACGGCCATTTGTCTGCTGAAGACAGGCTGCAGAGTCGCATAGTCCACCTCCTCACTACATCACAATACTCCCGCCTTTGTTTCTGACACGTGGAGTCATAATTCAGGCATTGGAGCAGCCGATTGTTGCCGTCAGTCTCACTCTTCCACCAGCGACACACTCTGCATGTAAACATGATTCCTGTTTGTTTCTATGGAAGCTTCTGTAATATCTTCTCACCTGTGATGTTCCTGTATCTACCTCTGTGTTTGGTGTGTAGAAAGCTCTTCCAACCAATAGCAAGAGTGGAGGACCGATGGAGGTAAAGCTAAAAGCTGATTGGCTGATTGACTTCCTGCTTCCAGCATCATGTGATCGGCTCTGTGTTTCCCAAAATGTTTTGTGGTCGAAGTCGATCGAAAATTCAAACTGATTTTAACTGGACGAGAAAAAAAACAATAAAAAACTCAATCTTGACGCCTTTGCTAGCAGACATTTTGGGAAAACGGCCTCTTGTGTGTTGTGATTGACTGATCATTGTGATGTCATACGAGTTCACGCCACCTTGTTCCCAGCCTGAGACACACTGTGTGGGAAGAGGATCCATTTTCACCCATTGACACATGACTAAAAACTCCACCCACCCGGAGTGCCCCAGGGTGCAAAAACAAGCACGTCATGACAGACTGCATCCAAGCTAACATCTGCCTCGTTTAACTTTGATTTGTTTGTATTTATTAGCAGAGTAACACCAGGCTAACGCTGTGGTTCACATCAGAGTCAGTCATTTGTGTAATAATTTGAGTTTTGCTCATTAGAATTAACACCAAATGTTGAGGATGATATTGGCAAACAGGAACATGAAGTCAAACACTGTGTTCTCAATCCAAATAATACACAATGTAATAAAATCCCACAGAGACCAAATTAATCTCTCTCTCGCTGGGTTTAGTTAGATTTCACAACTGTTCTCTAAATTACAGAACAGAATACAACATTTTTTTTTACAGTAAGAAGCTTAAGGCAGGTCTGTTTCATGTGTCTTGAGACCATCAATGATCCATGCAGGAAAATAATAATGATCCTGAAGCAGGGCGTCTCCCAAAAAGAAAAGCTTTTAGTACATAATTTTCTAAAGGTTTTAGTGTCTAATAGGGTTTTTCTTCCCATTTATCTCATAAATATTCAAAAACCTTTAGAACTGATAAGTTCAGTAACAGATATCTCAATTTAAAATGTATATTATACAAAATATATATAAGTATATATAAATACAACATTTTTACTTTACTTTCATTCATTTATGTAAGTTAAAGTTATGAAGATAATTAATTGAATAATTTGTAAAAGTACTGTCCCCCAGTCACCGTCAGTGCATAATTATAACCTATAATAAACTGGTTATCGCCCACATCTGTGATCTGTCACTCCCTCTTCCTTGTGTTGCATCATGCATTAGTTTAGTTTCCCTGCCTGCGTAGTTGCTGTGGCTGCTTCCACACACAGTATGTTGGTGTTCAATTTTGCTGTTTGTTGTAGTATAAAACGTTTTAAAATAGGTTGTTAATAAATATTAAGCATAAAAGTTATGCTGGCCATTCAAATGAATGCAAAAACCACAAATGCACAGCACCGTCATGTTTACTGTCATCACATAGACTGACTTTGTCCAAGCACAAGCTGAGATTTTTTACTTTGTGAATTTCAGACTTTTTTTCATTTGTTTTACTTTATAATCTTTATATTTAAATCTTAAGATTTTTTTAATAAAATAATGAATTATATTACTTTATAACTTCAGATCATTTCTGAATTTTTCTTGCAAATGTCTGACTATAATCTAAGAAAATATTCAGAATTTTGTCAAAAATGTTTGGCTTTATAATCAGAGAATTTTCAGAATTCTTGTTAAAATGTTTAGACTTTATAGTTTGTGAATTATCCGAAATTTTCCCGTAAATATATGACTTTTTATAATCTCAGAGACTATGGTTTTCATCTTGTAAATGTATGACTTTAATCTCAAAATCTGTTTCTTTCTCTGAATATCACCCCCCTCAGCTCCATATTTAATTTTTCTTTTTACTTCCATATGTTATACTTTTCTGTTCATTTAGTTTTGAAAATACTAATCCAAATATTGATATCAGTGAGGTAGAAAAAAAGAGCATTCAAAGAACTGGGGTTGTCTGGCGTAACAGAGATATACAATTGCGTATCATCTGCGTAAAGCATTACATACCTATCACGACCCGCACGCCAAAGTTAAATTTTGCAAGAACAGGTGAGAGTGGGAATGACAGAAGCAGCCTATTACAACTCAGTGTAGCAAAATTATTTTGAATTTATTATTTTAAGTTAGAAAAGTTACATAATGTTGCTTTAATAGCCGCATTAGCTTCCCTAAGAATATCTCCTTCTTATCTGCAAACATAGACACATGTCTTGTCCTACGTACACTTAAAAAGCACATTTTATGATTTTGACAGCCAAGAGAAATAACTAATTGTAATTTCAGTTGGACTTTAACTGTGCACAAATGATGCAATACACTTGTGTGTTTAATTTTAGGTGTGAAAATCCATCTTAATCAAATTTGCTCTGAGGGTTTCCATATGAAAGGAAAAGAACCAAAATAACACTTAGACCACAAGAGCAGTAATTTGTCAGTGACAAATTTGACAACAGGTTTGTTTGTTCCCAGAGCCAGAGGGCCCTTTACAAGAACTCTGGATTTATTTTATTGGCCAGTTATTGATATAGAAGAAGTGATAAGATTTTATTGCTGTCAATGCTGAACAATTCTCCAGTTTACACAGCTGCAAGGGATTTTGTTCATCTTCTGTCTTCTACGTTTGAGTCTCTGACCCCAAACGAAACAACACTGGATACTCACACACACACAATATTACTATGACTGTACATTAGTCACTAATTCTACTATCCCCAGAGCTGCATTAGCTGATATTCAGGCCAATTTGTTTGACAGGATTAAGAATGGTTTCTGCTAGGGGTTTACACTACCAGGTGAGAAGACATTCTTTGTCGTCTCATTGAGAGTTCACTGGTTTTCCCACAAAACTGTAGTAAAAACATCTCGTTGTACATCTGCAGATTTTATGTTTGTGCCTGATGACCATATTGAACTATGAGATTGAAATTATGGTATAGCACAGGTTAGTGCTGCAGTTCCCAGCCTGACTACTAGGGGTTGCTAAAGTTACACAGGGGGTCACAAGGCCTTCTTGATTTTAAGGGGTGTAAGAAAAATTGACAAATATACACAGTAGGACTATATCTCAGCATTTCATTATTTTTTGTGAGGAAAACTAAATGCAATTATTTATACATAGTTGAAACAAGCAAAGAGCTAATAGAACAATGAAAGGAAAACACGTATTAGTTATGTATGATTGTTAAAAAGAAGTAACAGAGCGTCTTCAGAGCGCCTTGCCTCCCCAACGTTGTTTACTTGCGAAAACAGTGTGTTTCTCCGTTTAAAATATCCTTTCGTCTGGTGCTACTATGTTCATGTAGCGGGAAATTCAGTCCAGAGTCTGCACAGGGTATTTTATTTTGAAAATTGACCAGATTCCCTATGGCGTTTCTGTGTCCGACTTCCTGCCAGTGAGATCTGCTTTGTGCTGCTTGACGTGAGTTGGTCGCGGCTTCCGTCAAAAATAGAGCTATGTATTCTACATGGAGCAGTGCCTGAAAATATAAAGTTTTTGCTTGTCGAACGCAGCGGTTTTTAATGGTCTCATGAGACAGTAGTCCTGAGCTGCAGAGCGAGTGCAGCTTCTTGTGGGAAAACGTGCTTTATAGCGTGTCAATGAGACAGTCAACAAGTTCATGTCATCACAGAGGAATCTGCTCATCGGTGCTGCCGAATGTTGCCA